TTTTTTCTTAGATTTAATCAACAAAATATATCGAAAAGAAATTAAAACTCTTAAACTTTTATTCTTCTTCTTAAATAAACAAGTAATTATAAAAATTTAAATTTAGAAAAAATTGAATAAAAAATTCAAACACTCAAAGTATGAAAAGTATCTAAAATATCACCTAAAACTACTCAATTTATACATTTATAAGTAATATTAAAAAATTATTAAAAGTATAATATAAGTAAAAAGTAGAGTTTAGAATCCTTTACTTACATTTTTTTTATGGTATCTCTAAAATAATAAACAAAATACGGATGTGTATAAAGGAGGAATTTATTGAAAATAGAATGCTACCATAAATTATGACTACGCATTACGTTAAATAAAACTAGAAATGTTTGAAGTTATTAAGGTAAATTTTTTATTTATTTTAATTAAAATATTATAGACTAATTAAATAATTTATAAAATAACTGAAGTTAGTAATGAAATACTTACTAAATGTTTGCATTCAAATGCACGAATAACTAAAAACTTGATTTTGTAAAGAAAATTAACTTTAACATTAATGTAGGCATAATTTTTAATATATGATACTTTTCTATACATGGTTTTTCAGAATATAGATTAAATTTCCTTAGCATAAAAACCGTATTATTTTTTAGAGGGCAAAATATAAAATAATTTTATTAATGTGTCTCTAAGACTACATATTAAGATACATTACATATATTTTATTAATATTTTAAATTATTATAAAAAGTATGCATTAAATATTTTTTTAGTTTTTAAGATAATAAGTATTTCTATTTTTAATAAAAAAATTAACTTATTAATCTGCCTTTAGACACATTAAAAAATCAAATATAAAATTATTTGTTGAAAAATTGAGAGAAAATACATGTAAACATAAAATAAGTTATAAATTTGTTAACATCTTAAATAACTCTATATTTCTCAATACTTTTATATAAAATATATTTTTTTATTAATCTAATAGTTATATTATAAATATATACATTTAAGGCCTTAACTATTTTTGTTAAATCTTGTAAAAATAAACAGCTTAGAAGTATATTTTATAAGATATAATTTTTTTAATTGGTGGCATATGTATTTTAAGACAATATTATCAAATAAAGTTACATAATAGTGAAGAATGTTTTTTATTTAATGTTAATGCGATCTCTACCTTGTTTCTCTCTCACACACAAATGGGCTTCAACTGAGAGGGCAACACACATGACATTTTAAGAAAAGAGAAGGGGTATCGTGATGAAGGAGCACAAGGGTTACATGGTTGAGAGCATCATCAGCTTCAAAAGATGCGTGAGCGCAATTTAAGTAGTTTCTTTAGGATTTTGCATATGTTATGGACAGAGTATAAAAAACACTGTTTTACTCATGCAATCTACGTGGTTTTACTCATGCAATCTAACATCTCACGTTGAATCATTTTGCAGAAGTTGAAGTTTCAAATGTAAGCTTTTCAACACTATAAAAAATTATCATTGATTAATAATGTAAGATCATCGATTTTTTAAAAACAAAAATTGAAGTGATAATATAAATATTTTGAATTATAGTAATCATACAATATATTATATTAATAAAACTTATTAATATGAAATATTAATATATATTATCAATACATGTAAATATTAGTATTCTGCCTTATTGGAAAGAATGTACGTTAACAATTTAACTTTTTTGTCAAATAAAAACCATATTAATAACAATTGAATTAACATTTAAGATTTTTTATTCGTTATAAATGACAAATTTTTTAGTGGAAAGAGCTAAGGTCACATCTATTTTTCGTTTTGTTGGGCAATTAAATAAAGCATTTTATTCCGAGTTAATTTGTTCCAAGCTTTTCATAAAAAAATAATTAATACTAAACATATTTACATGACCCAGTGAAATGCATTTTTTAAAATTATTTATTTCTGCTTATCGCTATTGGCGTGCATAAAATTAAATACAATAATATGGCTCTTTGAATACTATTTTAAGCTTTTCAATGAAACGAATAGGAAAAATAAAATAAAAGGGTTTCATGACTCATACTTCAAAGTCCAACTATATATAGTTTTGTATATAAAATAGGGCCCAATCATGTGTTAATTAAGCATAAAAATGTTTCTTTCTTCTATTATATTTGTTTTGCTTATAAAAAGAATGTTCTTCCAATGGTAAAAAATTTAAGCAGATAAACTTTTGTGAAAGATGCCGACACCTCTCCTTATTTCCTGTACACGAATGATGATCTATGGAGGGAAATAAGCGATGCATAGAAAGAGTAAGATTGCGTGAACGCATTTATCTTCAGGGGTGACTTTATTGTCATTTAGTTTTAAATATTTTTTAATTTTATTAATTAAATTAATAATGAAAAACTTAAATAAAAATTTATAATAAAATATGAGTTATAACAGATACTTTCTATTTTTAAGAATTGTTTATTCTTTTGCTATTAATATCAGAAAATTTTCTCTATATTTGTTGGTTTTAAACTAACATTACTTGTTCCCTAATCACAAATTTTAGTGGTTTGAACCATTTCATTTTAAACCAAATAAAAAATAAAATGAAGCGAAAACCCAATTAGTAATTAATTAAAGCAAAATGGATATATGAAGATATTGGCAATAAGCTGAATCACTTTATTTATATTTAGCACTGTATGCGGATAGAACGGTTTTCCATTTTCGATGCTTTCATCCCTAAAATGAGCATCAAGGAATCAAGGCACCGAAAGTACAAATGGTTAATCTAAAAGTACAAAGGAGTGTTTGGTTCAACGGATGAAAAAAAAGGAGTGTTAATTTACATTGAATTTATAAAAAAAAAACAATTGTTATATTTTTATAAATATTTTATTTTATTTTAATCATTTTTTCATGTCATTTATTAAATGAATTTTTTATTTTATTTAAATATTTATGGTCAATTTTATATTCTAATTTTTATAAAATAAAAAATTATTAAATAAATACTCAATTAAATAATTAGTCTAATCATACTCTATATATTAAATTCGAATCTCTCTATTTTAAAAAGTATAACAAGAGTTATTATATTTTTTTATTGAACTTTGAATTTTTTAAATTAAAATTAGATTTTTATATTTAATTTTTAATTTAAAAATATTATTTTCTAAATTTAATTCTACTAGATATAATAAAATATTTATTATTAATAATAACAGTGTTTTCTTTTTTTGAAAGTTATAAAGTTTATTAAATTTTTAAATAAATCTTTAATTTTTATCAAAAAAAATTATAAAAAGTTAATTATTTATTTAAAAAAATTACTAATTATAATAAATTTTCTTTTTCGTGTCTTGCCACTAAATCTCCTGAGGAAACAAAAATGGAATCCATGGTGGACTGTATTAAAATTGAAGACCGTTTTTCATTTTCACGGCATAGCTTTGTATATATTTCCGCTTCGGAAATAATTATCAGTTCTCTTTACATATCCGTTTTTAATTAAAATATGACACAGTTAAAGTAATCAAAGTCAAGAGAGAAAATATTATCATTAAAAATTATTGTTAATGAGTACTTAAATTTTTTTTTATTAAAATTTAATAATATTTTATTAAAATTTATTTAAAAATATTATTATTATTCATGAGTATTTATTATTATACTTATATGTTTATTTTTAATTTAACAAAAATTTTATTAATGATATGATTATAAAAGAAAAAATAATATTAAAAATTGTGATAATTGTCATTTAACAGTCACAATAAACACACTTTTTTTATTTATATTATTAATCTTTAAATTTTGAAATGAATAATTTTATCCCTCTACGTTAAATTGAAGTCTAATAATTTGAAAATTGTTAAAATCTCTTGGTGCGCCATCTCTAAAAACCATGTAGGTGTCATTAATGACCTTTCCTTTTTAATTTTAAATTAAAATTATTTTATTAATTGTGCATATTTTATTAATAATTTAAAATATTTTTTAATGTATATTTTTTTTCTACTTAAATTAATTATATAGATCTCATTTATGATTATAAACAGTTTTTATAGTATATATATTATTCAATTAAATTTTTTATTGTTTTAATTTAAAATAATCTGTAAAATACAAAAAGTATTTACTAATAAATTATACAGTTCTGTCCTTTTTATATTTATCTTTTACTCTTTAAATGAGCAATTAATGATGAGGATTTTTAAAATAATAAAATTAGATAGTAAGGTTAGAATCTCCTTTACTTAGTAATATGGGTAATTATTATTATTATTATTAACTATAAAAAATAATAGTTTTTATTAAAAAATATTTACTTTAATTTCCATTTTAATAAAAATATTACTTTTAACTACTTATCTTTAAGTAATTAAAAGTTGATGTTAACATTTTTCTTATTATTATTACAGAAAGAATCACGTTAAATCCACTTCAATCGGAAATAAGCATAATAAAACATGTTAACCAATAGTTTGTCCGTTTTTAGCAGGTGCATGGGAAGTGAAAAATCTAAAGAAGCATTTTCCAAACCAAAATGAAAGCAAAGTTGGCCCACGGAAACTCTAAATTCTAATAATCATGCATGAGGTAATTCACGATCATTGTATGTATAAAAGCATTCTATAAGATGCTAATTAAGTGAGTTGCAACGGCCAAGCTCTTTTGCACTATATTTCTAATTAATGGCACAAGCACTGAACTACAAACAAAAACACATGAATCCCAAAAGTCTTAACTCTTAAGACCAAGTCATTTGAGAGGGTGGGGGAATTTGGCTGGTATGCTATGCTTTGATCCTAGCTAGCTAACCCAATCTCTAACTCCATATACCTAAATAATTTGATTAAACATGCACATTTTAATGTCAATATAGTTCTCACCGCTATATCGATCTCTAGCCCTCTAAATTCTAACATATTCTAATGGGTATTATATACCATGCGTTTACTTCATCAAGAATTTTTAGATTTGTAATCATCACAAAACGCTTAATTTTTTTTTGTCTGTAAGCTATAATTAGCATATGCCTGGCATGTTCTTCCAGCAAGTTCCAAGAGTCCAAGCAAATTCTTGATTAGTGGGGCCAGGTGATGAAGCATCGGGTTGAGTTTCAAGTCCCAATGACTGACTTTCCTCTTTACGGTACCACTCAGGCATTGGCATTTCTGAAGGAAAATGGTTCAGCAGGCTAAACAAATCATCATCCATCGAATTCAGTTCTTCCAATGGATCTTCACCAATCAGTTTCTCCCCTATATATGCATTAAAATTTTCACTTAGGGAATCACTATATATCAACCATGCAAGGAGTAAATTAAAATAAAGGGATCATCAAATTTATCAAACACAATTAGATTGAAAGAGTTTCACCTTTTGACAATTCGGAAGAGCTAAAATCATTCCTTTGGGCTTCATTACTTGTGTTGCCATTGCTCTTCTTCATGGTTGACACCACAGGCTCAGTGCCTCCCACTTCTACATATTCCTGATCACCAGCCATGCTTTTCCTCTTATGAGATAACTTCTCAGCTAAGATTGAATCCTCACCATTGAACTTGTCATTGCGAGAAAGTCCATGAGCTTCCATCACTAGAGCGTCCAACAAGCCACTGTTTCCTTGAGGAGATAATGGTGCAACTTCATAGTAGTCATTATTAACCATGCTTGAAGGTCCCATCAAGCCATCAACAACACCACTTGCATAAGATGAAGCTGGTGTTGCGGTTTGGCTTGAAGATATCTCAGTGGTTGAGCTTGGCACCAAAGGAATTGGATCATATGGAGATCCTGCTATGAAGCCATGATCACCATAGCTTTGGTAATCACGTGAATCAGTTGCGGCAGAACAACTAGGAGGAGCAAAACTCTGGTTGAAAAGGGTAGAGGATGAGGATCTATACGGAGAAACCGGGGATAATGGCAAAGCAAGATTTACATTTGCACGATTTTCATTGGAAAACTTAAATTTCTGGCTTGGATTGGTATAACAATTTGCAGAATCAGGCTGGTTTTGCATAGGATTTGCATTAGAATAATGGTTTTGGTTTGGTTCATTGAGCTTCTTGGGGTAACAAGAGGATAAGAGTAAAGAAAATGATGAAGATGAATTAGAAGGGTATGGTTGTTGCTCCAAGTAGTGTTGTTGTTGTTGTAGATGGTATGCAGTGGCTTCTGCATGGACTTCTGGGGGATAAAGGGGTAACCCTGCTCTCTGGCGCCTTTTCATTCTGGTATTCCAAAAGTTCTTTATTTCATTATCGGTCCTACCAGGTAACTGAAAGTAGAAACATGTTAAGGATGGTGACAGAAATAAGTAGATGGGAATCAAATAATAATTACAAAAAGGGCATAAAAGTTGAGTGTTTTAGCCTTGAAAGAAAACTTTCAAGGTGGGTCCTCATCAAAGTATAGTGTTGAAAGAAAGAAACAAAGATGGCAATTTGATATTCAGACAAAAAGACTGAGGTAAGCTTATAGAAAAAATCCAAAATCGGACAATATGCACAAAACTAGAATTAAAAACAAAAAGGAAAAAAGAGGGGACAAAAAGAGACCCGATTGGAGTTCAAAAGCGAAGAAGGTTTCTCTTTTTTTATGATTGCACCAAAAACCACGAAAAAACAAGCGAAATGATGACATGAACACAGCCCGCAAAGAAAAATATATATACATAATTTCAAGTAAGCATTATTATTATATGAGAGCTTACTATATTTACAACCACCAGCATTAATATTCGATGTGTGTATATATATATATATATATGTATATATACCTGTGCAGCCATTCGAGCCCATTTGTTTCCAAGCTTAGCATGAAGGTCGACGATGATTTGTTCTTCTTCATGAGAAAATGCACCTTTCTTCAAATTAGGCCTTAGATGATTGGCCCATCTAAGTCTACAACTTTTGCCACACCTTAACAACCCAGAATTCTTTTGCACAGAGTTCCAATTTCCTTCACCATACTTCTTCACGTACTCTACCAAGACAGCATCTTCTGCTGGGGTCCATGGCCCCTTCTTCAAATGACCTCTTGCTTCACTCTCATCTTTTGATCCGTTGGTGTCAACCTCTGTGACAGCTTCATCGTTGTTGCTGTTGTTTGAGATTGTTCTAGCCATAATTCGAAAAGAAAAAAAGAGAAGCCAACTTTTTATTCTAGAGCCCAAAATGCGAGGTGGGGGTGGTACGAGAATAAGAATGTGTATGTTGTTGTTGAGAGATATGGGTGAGAGTTCTCTCTCTCCTCTCAGAAAAAAAAGGTGAATAAAAGAGAGAGGAGAGATAAAAAGGATGAAGAAGGGACAGAGAGATGTAAGGGAACAAGCCCTTGTCTTCTCTTTGGCTTCTCTTTTTGTTTTGATGTTCAGACAAAGACAATGGATTTTAAGGAGAAGAAGAAGAAACTGAGAAGGGTGTGTGGGGCCAGCCAAAGGCAAAGGTAGCGTTTGAGGGGTGAATTTGGTGTTAAGATTGGAGAGAAAGAAAGGAAAAGAAAAGAAAAGAAAAGAGGGAGAGAAGGTGATTTGTGTAATGAGAGGTGTGAGCTATCATTTCGCTCCGCGTTGCATGCTTAGTGCTACGTCCATATACGCGTTTATCATCTCAACCTTTCTTTAATTCGCGTGTTTGCATAAGACTATATTTAGAAACGTAAATTTCTAGTTTAATTTCCTTTAATAAGTTAGAAGAATTGCTAGGTTAAAATGAGGTTAGTAATATATGAAAAAGTACTTAAAAAATGTTTTAGAAAGTGTTACTAGTGCTTTTTAAAAATATAAGACTTTAAAATTTTTAAAATTATTTATAATTATCATAAAAAAAAGTTGAATATAATTTAAAAGTTATTTCAAGTAATAATGACGAAGCTAAGTTTAAATATTTTAAAATTTTGCGAATAACTTACACTTTACTCTTATAAAATAATTTAAATTTAAATATAATATATAAATTATAAATTTCAAGCTAATGTTATCAAAATAGAAAATATATATATATATATTATACCTATAAAAATGGCTTTAATATTATTTTATTTGTATAGTATTTTTTTTAATGTGAGAGCAAATGCATAATAAATAATATTTTTTTATTAGATTTAAAGTGTATAATATTTAAAATGTATTTAATTTTGTATTTTTTATTTTTAATAAAAATTTATTTATACAGAAATTTTTATTATATATCGTCGATAGATATTAGAAATACAGTTCATCAACTATTTCTTATGATATTGTTTTATAAATTTATTTAGAGTTTTGTTAATTTCAATTTTTAGAACAAAAATTAATCATAAAAAAAGAGATAATTTTTTAAGACATTTTTCTTAATATTTTTCAATTAAGATTAACAACATTAAATATAATTTTTTTATTAAAAATGATAAACAACATCTAAAAAATAATACATAAGGTTTGTACAAAATTTTATTTACAAAAATCACATTCATTGTATTGACTTAATAAAAGTACAATAAATATTTTTAGGTAAAATTTTATTATTATCATTATTTTCTTAAGCATAATTTTAAAATTTAAGATTTTTTTTATCATTATATTTATCTTGTCACTATTTTTTTATCTTTTCAAAATGTATTACTTCAATTAATTTTAATTTTTAAATAATTAAATTTTACAATGTATACTAAATTAAAGAGACTTTTTAAATAAATAGAAATTTTAAATTATATTCTAATAATGATCAATGATAATTTAAATTTAATATTTAAAATATAAATTTTAACACATCTATCAACAAGAACAATGTATCTTAAATTTAATTTTATAATTTTAACATTTTTAATTTATTTTTATTAAATTCAATAAATTTTTAATAATGATTTACCACATTAATAAATCTATTTTTATTAAATATATATGCAATACATGATATATTTACTTATATATATATATATAATTATTACTGCTTGCAATTTTTTGTCAGAAATATCCTATTTGTCTTTATTGTCCCACTTGACTTTTATTTACAATGATACTTTAGGTTTTTTATAATTAATGCTTTTTCCACTATGTGTAATATGCAGTTTGACTATATTAATGATTCACTCATTAAAACTTTCAAAACAAAAAATATTTTCTTGAAAATGAGAAAAGTAAAAGATATAATATATGGTGCAATAAAATTAAAAATACATGAAAATGATTGTAAAGAAAATACATATGTAAAAGTATAATTATTTTTCTCTAATTAATTGAAGAACGTAAAAAAATAAAATAAAATAAAATAACGACGGAATGTTCCTTAATTAATTCCACAGCTAATTTCATTTATGCAAAATATTATACAAAGTCAAAGAGTAGATAATCTTGAAAAATATGTTTTTAATAACCATTAGATGCTTAATTTTATTATTATTATTATTATTTAGTTAATTTCAAATATAAAAGATGCGTAACAACAGTTACAAATAAAGAATGCTAAGAAAAATATTATAGTAGTGCATAGCAAATAAACAGAAAAATAAAATAAAAATCAGACACCTCCGCTGAGTTCGAAAGGGTTCTTGGAATGGTTTTTTATTTTATTTTATTTATACAATTCGAATGCTTAAATTCATTTTCATTTTCATGAATTTCATTGCTAAATTCAGTTATTTTTAATATATTTATTATCAATTATCACTTGATCTGTAGCCTTCGCTGTTGGGGAAATTTTCAGCCCAGCTCTTACTGAGTTGTTGGGCCCATGTTCTTCACCTTTCTGTAAATTCCCATACAGTTCAAGAGTCAATATTTACGTACTCTCAAAATAAAACTGTTCTCTTTCTGTTCATTATATTTTTCAGTGATCATATTTAACTCTTCTTTGTTTTAAGATTAAAAAAAAAATCATTTTTTAATGAAGAAATCCGTTTCAAAGTAAATAAATGATCCACAATCATATTTAATTATTTAATTTAATTGTATTAAACTATAAAGCAAATAGAGACTTAAAACACTTGAATCAACACTGATTGAGAATATTTTAACCTAATCTATAGTCCTGAATTTGAGTTTTAGTGAATAAAATTATCTATAATAAAAGATAATTGTGTTTTTTTTGGACATTTGCAGCTTTCTTTTATTTACGAGTATATTATGTGTGTTAAAATGAGATTGTGGTGAGAGATGAATAAAAAAGACTTGGAATTGACCATAAAAAGGAAAAGTCTTGGCAGAAAGTTGAATGTCCCTCACATTGATTGCTAAGAAAGTGTTTGGGGTTACGTTCTTAAGTGTGAGTAGGCAAAACAAAAGCAAATCATTTCGTCACTACGGTTCTTGGTCATGGAGGAAGTTGTAGTTGCGTCGGTCTAAGATACGTTAAAAAAATTATAAAGTAAATTTAACGTTAAATTCATAATTATTAATACTTTTTTATTTTTAATGTTTATAAATTTTAGTAACTATGAAATAGTTTTTAAAATGATCATTTATATATACTTTTATTTTATGTTTATTTTATAAAATAGAAAATTATTTAAAAATACAACAAAATTATTAGTAATTTTAAATAATATAAATTTATATTATATTTTAAAAATGTTAATAATAGTAAATTTTTAAATTGGTATCTCATATATTAAATAAATAAATATATCTATATATATAATTAATGAATAAGTGTCTTGTCAACATAATTTTTATAAAATTAATGCATATAAACATTTATTTATTTTTTATAATATAAATTAAAATATTAATAGCTGTTTTTTAATAAATAAAATTAAAAGTAATGGTAGTTAGTCAATAGTCATTGCAATAAACCTTCTATTTAGTTATTTTGTGTGGCACGCACATAACAATGAAAAAATAAAATTAGTTTGATTTTTTAAAAGCACATTGAAGTTCCTTATAGTGTGTTGAGCTTTTTGAATTGGTGTTTCTAGTTTTTTTTTTTTTAATTAGAAAAACATATTTTAAAGCTTTGGTTACATTTAATTGAATTCCCACTCATGCCATTATTGACTATGAAATTCGTAATTAGGTGTCTGGTGCATATAACTGCAATGCAAATAATTTAAAATTAACTATACATAAGCATTCATTGATAAAATTTAACCCGTTTGCCATGAAGAAAAAAACTTATTTTAAATATTTTAGCTGTAAGAGATCCCATAAAAAGGGTCTAACAATAAAAGCTTCTTTGAAAGTTAAATATAATTTTTTATCAAACAAAATATTTCAATCTATAAAATGCATTACCTTAAATTAGAGCACTATCTTTGAAGAAAGGGTTCATAATTTAATTTTTATCATGAAAATTTCTGTAAAAAAATAGCTTATTAAATAATTATGATTATGCTTATTAAAAAAATAAGTTTAAACAAGTAAATAGTCCCAAAAAATATATACCACATAAAAATATTAGATTTACCTATAATACTTAAATAAGTAATTTATCGATAAAAATATATTTTCTTAGAATTAATTTTTTTTCTTTTAGGCCTATAAATTTTTAATTAAAATAAAATTTCATCATTATGCTTATTTATCAACAAAGTAATTTATTATCAAGAATTCACCAATATTTAACATTTAAAAGTTTTTTAATTTTTCTACTTTGATTGTTATGTGAAAAAAAAATCATATTCCTATTGTTCAATATTAAACTAAACACATCGAAAATAAGTTTTCTCACTTTATACACAATGAAAAACCTCTGTATTATCTAAACTGGTAAAAAAAATATCAGTATGGATTCAAGGGAATATAATGCAATAAGTCTTTCTATATTACACAATGCAAATTCTTCTAATGACTTCAAAATTTATCCTCAAAAAATTATATTTTAGCCTTAAGTTACACAATATTAGAACGTACTAGTAAGAGAAAAATAAGGTATAAAACATTATATAAATAAAAAACATTAATTTAAAATTTAATAATAAACTTTATTTTTTAAATATTGAAATTTGACAAAACTAAAATCAAAGCAATATAATTTTTAAGACCTGATTGTTTATTTAAGTTATTTACGTACGTGAAATATTATTTTGTTAATTATTATTATTTAATAATTTTCAGTTAACACTAAAGATTATTTTCAAACAAATAAATTTTTAAGATTAGAACTTACAAAATATTTTTATATGAATTAATTTTGAAAATGATATATTTTT